AAAAAGAGAGTACCGTTTAAAGGTTCAGTTTAGCCATTGATTAATTAGTTCATTCAGCACCCACGTGTGTCTGTTTTATTGGGGCAGTGAAAAAGAGAGTACCGTTTAAAGGTTCAGTTTAGCCGTTGACACGTTGCACTGTTGATCCATCTACGTTGATTAAGGACACTCGCCACCATATTCGAGGCAGGTAACCTTTGTGCGGCCGAATCTCTATAAATCTTCTGTTTCGATACTGTGTGCCTGTGCCAGAATACACGGCGGCACCATACTCCAGTTGTATTCTTCACTCCTTATTCTAGGAATTGAGTGGTTGTCACCTGGCAGACTGTTACACTTGCTGTATTGTTGCTCGATGCAAACCAGCGGTTCCAGACAACGACTTCTGCACCACCTGAAGACTACCAACATTACTTTTAACTACGGGCCCTATTGGTGACGTATTTTACGGTCTGGTGTCCACGCTTGAGGTTGTACGACACTTTATTAAGCGCCGTAAGTATTGGTGGTTCTTGTAGTCAGTGATGTGTGATGTACCACTGGTGCCTTTGATAATCCTTCACATAATTAAACCCTTCCTTCGTGGACCGCAGGTCGAAGGTTGATGGTGACGCGTACAGAATGAGCTTCATATGTGCCCAGGTAGAAGTTTTGTAGCCCGGAAGTTCTTCATTTTGATCCCGATCCTGTAGATCCCTCTGCACTTGGCCGCTGATGCGAGGACAGATTGCAGTTTGACTCGCTTGTACTATGCTCCTGGTTTCAGTTGTAGAACACAGGGCTGTTTTTCTTCTTCCAGAGCTAATGAGTGGCAGATGCACTTAACTTGATATGTTCGCCGCAATGTCTATATCAGTCTGCCGCGTGATGTAGAATTAAACCACTTTTTATGTTGTTTCAGACTTGTTTTGCAGCTGTTCCCGAATTCAGCGTCTTGTCCATATACATGTCAAGCGAGTTGGCTCGTGATCTGTCTGAGCGCAGCGTTAACATGAAGCTACACTCGTAAATTGTTCAGACATACTACATGCATAAAG